CCTTTTTATTTCCTTGATCACTGGCTTCATGATCTCTGCTCCCTCTTCACAGGCTGGTTAGCTGCTGGCAACTGAAAACCTCCCTGGAAAGGCACAGATTGTTAAACAAAGAAATTGCATCTGGGGGAAAGGGATGAAATGAATCCTCTTCCTCCCAAAACCTTATTCCCAAGGGCTGCTGTTTGTGTAGGAAGCAGAGAGGGAGCTGGCAGGGGGAGGAATGGGTAGACAGGCAGAGACAGCAGCTGAGGAGGAGAGAGAAGGAAAAAATAGAAATAGATCTGAGGAGTTATAAAGAAGAAAGCAAAGGTGGAGAAACAGGACGCTAAAGTAAAAAACTTTGTGTGATGGAATGAGGGAAGAGGAGGAGACAAAGGGCTGGGGAAAAAACCCTTACATCTGTATGTGCAGGTTTAGTTTTGGAAAATGAGGAAAGCACTTCTCAGTCTGTGGGACACAAGTGCTTAAAGATGAACACACGCTCATGCCCTTGAAAGCACAGGACTGGAAAGGGAAAGGAGAGGTGGGGAGTCTGCTGGGCAGGTAGCTAAGAACAGAGAGAAGGGGGTTAAGTACTCTGATGGAAGAGGATGTGCTGCTAAGAGTACCCTGGGGGAGGAAGAGGAGGAGGAGGAGGGCAGCAGGGGTGGCTGCAAGCCAGTAGGACACTAACCCAGCCAGTGGCTCTGGTGCTGCAGGTGTCCAGGGCAGGAAGGGTGTTGGAGCTTCTCAGCTGCAGCGTTTGACAGCATCAGCTCAACCAGAGGGTCTGGAGAGAGGCTGGGTAGTTCCAGTGATGGAAAACCACGGACAGAAAGCCCTTTCACATTGGCACTTAGGAACTGCTGGTACTGATTTTTAGCTCAGTTTGGTTTCTGCATCATCTACATCTTTCTACATCTGCATCTTTTAAAACCTTTTCTAACTGGCATGAGGGGCTTGCCTTGCTTTTAGTGGAAACTCACTTAGAAGCCAAGAGACTACTGTTTGTAGCAGTGCAGGGCATGGCTGTGGGACAAGGCTCTGCAGCATGATGTTGGCTCTGTGCAAAACCAGCTTTCCTGCTTCCAGGAATCTGGAAACCAGACCTGATCAATCAGGGATGTGAATGAGAGAGGATATGGATAAACTGAGGTACGTGGGCTGTGCAGAGGCCCCGTTTGTCCTGATTTCACTAGAATAATTTTCTTCTCAGCAAAGAGGCCAGTTTGCCCCCTCTGTGACTTACCCCCACCATCTCTGTAGGCTGCACAGAGCTCTCCCAGGGAAAGCAGCAGCAGCAGTTTAATGCACATTTCATATAGTGTCACTGCACAAATACTAGCGAGTGTCTGAGCAGCCCAGCTAATTGATATCAAAGTGATTGAGCAGGTAATTTAATATTTATGACATGATAAATCTGACTCTCCCTGCTTTAACCTCTAAGCCCGCTTCAGTCTTGGGCTCCACTTACTATTTCTTTGTGTCATGGTTGTACCAGATGGAAAATGAGGATAAATTGCTCCCAAACCAGAAGAGCAGAGTTCTGCAAGCGGCTGCGTGCAGCCTCAGCACGTAGGAATACAGCCCTGGGTGTACACAGGACTTCTGCTGAGCAGAGCAGTCTGGATGCTCTTTGGAGAGGCTAGGAAGGAAAAGGTGAGGTGGGTGGTATCTATAGGAATGAGCAAGGAGAGGAAAATATTCTTGCACTTGGCCAGGTCTGTGTGTTTATCTACCAAGTCCCAGGCCATGGAGAAGGTCTTCAGCTTGGTGAGCATCTGGGATTGCATTTGTGTCATACCAGATGCCCAAGTGTACGATACATTTCAGAGTTTGTGATATTAAACCATTTTGGAAAACCAAAGCACTGTCACTCTCTCCTGTTGTGTCACTGAGGATGTAAATATTGCTCAGCTGCAGACAAAGGACTCTGCTTTTTTATACCTCAAGGAGATCTGGCCCATGTAGAGCTGCCAGGGAAATTTGATTGCTGGTTTTTAAACAAGTGAAGAGTTGGTTTGATTTGGGTTTTTTTGGTTGTTTTTTTTTAATTCCATGGGAAGCACTTGGAGTTAGACTGAATTGAAAATCTAAGGGAAGAGTAGCAACTATCCTGCTTAATGCTGGCTTTGAAACCCTGGGGGCAGATTATCTGCCTCTCACCTCTCAATGGTTTGGTTCAAAACTGGCCTGCTTGGATCATCTAATGCCTTCTGGAGACTTCAGGCTCCATCTCACCAAATCCTACCCAGCTAAAATTCATCCTCTCTAAGGGAGGTGTGTAAGCTTGGTCCTATGAACAGCCTTCTGGAAGTGCCTGTCCCATCTCCCTGCTACAGGAGGAGCTGCAAGCGCTCTCCTGGGCTAACTGCCCACCTTTCCCACAACCTTTTTGGTATATGGTGTGGTAGTATCGTGGTCACCGTGCCTGGTGCAGCACGTGAGCTCTGGACTTTATGGATTTTGGTGCTGCAGTTCCCCAGCTGACTGGCTTTGGAGAAGAAGGTGACCATCAAACAGTGGCTTACAAGGGAGAGCAGGAGAGGGGTGAGTTTCTGTCTTACACCAAGTCATTAAGCCGTTGCTCAGCTTTACTTTGGACCCAGACCTGGCATTTCTGTGAGTAGGTTTCCTCCAGGCTGCCGTTTCTGCCCAGATAGAGATTAAAACACCATGTTTGTCAGCCCATTTGCCAGGAGAGGCAGCATCAGTGACCATTGCTGCAATGCTGGGACCTTCTCCTCATCTGTCACTAAAGGAGTGATCTACACTCCGAGATGCTCTGGAAGAAACCTCTGTCTGTAGAGTTCTGAGGACTTTTAAATCCAGACAGCTAATAAGCTCATATTTCATTTAGCAGACAGAAAGCTCTCGGCAGGCTCCTGGCAGTGCTGAAGGTCAGCAGGGAGGTAATGAAGCTGGAGACTCAGATCTGACTGCTGCCTCCTGTTTACTCATTTCCTGAGCTCAAAGTTGACACGGTGCTGGACCGGTGGAAGCCTGATGGGAAGCTGCCCAGCAGCCATCTCCTCTCCTCCCATCATGCAGAGGTGTAGCCACAGGAGATCCATTTCCTGCCTCACCCTGCCCAGATTGCTGCCCAGCAAGCCTTGCTGGGGTGATGTTTTCATTGTGTTTTTATAATCCTTTGAAGCCCATTTTGCCTGTTCACTGAATTCTCTGGGTGCAGCCATGCTGTTCACTGCTTTCATCAGTTCCCTGGGGAAAAGGGTTCCAGCTAATCACCTGCAGTACATCTCAGCTCCATAGGCAAGCCCAGCTAACCAAAGAGATCTCTCAATCACTGTGAGATCCAGCTTTACAGTAAACTCATGCAGTTGCACTGGAATCAATACACTGATTTGCACCAGCTGAGGATCTGGCACTTGCCTTTTTTTGCTGTAGCTCCACCAGAAACGCTGGCAGCAATAATCCTTGTAGCTCTGTGATAACTGAGGAATTAATCCTGGTTTGTTTGGTTTTTGGTTTTTGTGGGGTTTTTTTCTGCAGTACCCATCTGGATGGAGAGTATCACACAAGATCAGATATTAACCACTTCCTAAACTTAACTTGAGATAATAAAGAAGGGTAGAGGGTGAGATACAAGCAGGGAGGAGCTAATGATCTGCTTTCCCATTGAAGAAAACCTTCTCTCCTTACTCAGGAGGAAGGCAGCTGTGGTGAGCAAATGAAAAGTAAGATTTCTCTGGTTGGACGTGAGTGTATCTTGTCACTGACAAATGGCATCCCATGGACTTGTCTTGATTACACACGGAGCCTAATTGTGGCAGCTGTAGATGATAGTCAGTCTGACCTGTCTGATGTTCTGTCAGGTACAGGCACTGTAGTAGATGCTTCAAACACAGCTCAGTTACTAACAGAAGAGCCACCAGTTTTCCAGTGTTGTCCTTTGTCCTCCTCCACTGCCTTCAGGTGGGATGGCACTGGCTTGCTCTGTCCTTTCACTCACTCTCATTGCTCTGCTTCCTCTTCCAGGTGCTATATCATGTCCAGATAGGACACCGCCAGTGTGAGAATCATCCCAAGACAACTGCTCCAAGGGCTTGAGCTCAGGTGGCTCCTCTGCTTTCTCAGCAGCCGGGTGAGGGAGAAGAGCTGGGATAGCCCCACGCGTGTGGTGTCCAATTGCTGCCCACAGTACTCGTAGGGATGGATTCCAAAGGCAACGTCCGAAGCGGAAACAAACCTGATGCCAAGGCTCCCAGCTCTGGAAAGCCAGAAAAGCCCAACCCTGGGCCTGCCACGAATGCAGACAAGAAGGAGACCCCCAAAGAGCAGCCTGCTCCTGCCACTGCCACCAAGAAGGCAGGTGGTGATGCTGCTGTCGTGAACAACCACAGCAACTTGAAACCCAGCCCTGCTGCCACGGAGACACAGGAGGCCACCAGCCAGTCCCCTGACTCTGACCACAAGGGAAACAGCTCTGAGGAGTCACCAGGCAGCATCTTCGACAACATGAAGCCCTTGATCATCGTCGGAGGAGTGGCGGTGGCTGCACTCGCTGTGATTGTGGGAGTGGCATTCCTAGCCCGGAAAAAATGAAGACCGAGACGGGGTGGGGATGAGAAACCCAACCCAGCTGTACAGCTCCTTTTGAGACAAATGCATGCAGAAAAATTCTATACATATCTATATATATATATAGAGTGAGCTAGGTAGGTCAACAATGCACACCAACTGCAACTTCAAGAGTCTTGTTGAAGACAGCTGTGCCAGTTTGACCCAGTGTGGGTAACTCCATGCACTCAGTGTGTTCTTTCATGTAATATATCTTGGCTTATACCACTGTGTATAGATTACAGCTTCTCCTGATCGGTGTAAATGACGGTGTCCCCTCCCCTCCCCTGATGTCCTCCCTGGGAGACACCCCACCTCTCCTGCAGTCCCTTGTTTTCGAGTCCAAAGTGTTCTACGTCCCATCCAGAGTCCCCACTTTGTGTTTTGGTTTCTGTTTGGTTTGTTTTTAAGTTGGGTTGTGGTATAGAAGATGTAAGGGGAGATGGAGCCCAGTGCTAAGACCCAGCTTGCCTGTCACTGGGTGTTGGGCTCATGTTTATCCAGTGCCCTTGGGGCAGGGGAAGCACTGGGCAAAGGCAGGCAAAAGGCAGCTCCTTGACTCAAAGTGTGATCCCTAATAGGTGTCTCGTGTACCTGCTGCTCATCAACCTACTTCTAAAAACCCAACTCAAAGGTGCCCCAGAGAAAACAGGCTGGCTGTAGCTGGAGGCTGAGGCTGCAGCATGGTAGAGCTGTGGACACAACTTGGGACATCACACCAAGTCACTGCTCTGGCTGAGCTGCCAGCGAGGGAGTGAGCAGAGGGGTAGTGCTGTGACTGACAGCACAGTTAGCAGTGTGTGAAGATACCTGGTGAAGTCCCATGCCATCCTCGGGCAGACAGCAGCTGCCATCTGCTTGGTGTCTTGCACGTTGGCAGCAGCCTTCAGGATCCCATGGCTTGCCAAGGTCATACGGACAGTGTCTGGGGATAGAGAGGCTTTGTTTTGGATCTAGTATTTCTGAAAGTTAAGCTGGGCTTTGCAGGATGCTGTGGCCTCAGCCCAAACTCCCTCAAGGTCAGCTGGACTCTTTCTGTTCATTTCTTTGGGCTTTGGATCAGGCTTTTCACCTGATTTATTTTTTCCCCCCACTGAAGGCTGTGGTCTCTTGGTACATAAGAACACAGAAAAAGGGACACGAGCATATCCAAGTTGGGATGTGGGGATGGCTGTTCCTGGGCTCCCCTTCCCTCAGATGGCTGAAGCACAAAGCTCTTGGCTGTAAGGAAATCTTGTTTGTGTTGCTCATGAGGAAGGGAAATGGGCCACCCCTGCTCTGCTTCATGTTTTGCCAAATAGGGTGGTGATCTTCAGACAGTGACTTCTGTTTTCAAATGGGAGGCCTGTCTTCAAGAGATGCTTCTAAGTGTCCTGTCTGTCCCCTCTCTCTCAACCCTGGCATATGATTATTTTCTTTAGTGGTGTGTGACAACATTACAGATACAGCATCTATCTATTCTGCCCTGACCAGCGTAGACAGATACAGGGGGAGGAAAAAGAAACACCTGCTTCAAGTCTCCTAACTTACTTTCTAAAGTGTTTTTATTTCCTTGACTTAATCTGTGGCAACAGAAGAGGGGGGGGAAAAATAGTTCTGAGCCAACATGAGCCTTAATCATCTGTGTCCACCTCCGAACCCCCCTGTCCTTAGAGCACTCAGATGCAAAGCCGGTAATTTCATCCAGAAACACAGCCCAGAGATGGCGATGGGACTGCAGCTCATCATCTGGGTATGTAACCCCCTGTGAACCCTCCCTGGGCAGTGACCACAGTCTGTCCTGTTCCAAAGGGATTTTCTGCTTATGGTGATCACTGAACGTTGCTGTCTGCTGTCCAGATTCGCTACCTGGAACTCATGTCTTTGGCAGTTTGGTTTGGAAAGCACTTGTGATTGTGTGTGTGTGTGTGTGTGTATATACACCGCCGAGCCTTGAAGAATATCCTGCATATGTATGTATACATACATAAATGTTTATATTACTGCAGTCTGGGGGGGGTGGGACAAGCCAACCTGGAGATGACCCTTCATTTGTTCCCCTGCATTCACACAAAGTGTCCGTGATGTCTTTTTTGTGCCATTCGCATCGTGCCACGCAGCACCCGAATTCCTTTTTGATCCTGGTTTCTTCTCAGTGCAAAGAATGTCTGGCTAGTGAACTGCTGAATGTACGATGTGCCCGTCGTGCTAGAAGCTCAAAAATTACTGTTCCCCTCCCTGGATAGTTGTGTGGGCTATTTGCTTTAAAACAAGGCACTTTTAGACTCTACTGATCTATACTGGACTGTGTTGTAGTGCTTTTCGAAGTGTGGGTCTAGTGTTGATTTGAGTCAGGTAGATCAAGCGTAGATGCCATACAAGCTCCTAAGCTGGGGCAATGCACTTCAGTCCTGACTTGCAGATGACATCCTCTTAGCAAACACCTCCTGTTCTGCCTTAACGTGCCAGGCTGTGCTGTGGTTTCATTTTGAGGAGGAAAAAAAAACCAAACAGAAAAATCCAGTGAGAACTAGGCTGAGAAGAGCAAATTCATCTCTCTCAGAATTGAAACGAGATTGAAACCAAATTTGTCGAAGCAGAAGGCTTAAATGACTGAATTCGCTGTGCTAAATAAATAGTTGTCTTTTCTCGTACTGAGCACATGCTGTTATTTGCTTGATGTTATTCTTTGTGTGGTGTTTGTGATATGAAGTCCTTCTAGTGATCTCTCCATGGGGAGAATGAACTAATGCTTAAAACTAATCAGATTCTGTGCTTGGGATTTGAAGAGATCTAGATTGCTAGTTTACTCTTTTGATAAAGTCTATAAATTATAAATTTGCCAAACTGACTTTGTAGCTTATCACTAAAACTACAGGTTCAATTACCACACCTGATCTCAATCTATTTTTAAGGAGCCATGAGTTATAGTCAAATATAAAGATGTCATTACACTGTCTTGGACAACTTAGTAGAAGGTTTTTGATGCTTCTGGCTTTAAGAAAGATGAAATGGATGACACTTCTGCTTCCTCTTTCTACTGATTTAATATGCTATGGATAAGTCCTGTTATCCTGTGGTAGGATGCAAACAAATCTGGAAGGCAAAGGAAATGCAGCAGCATTTTCAGGAGGGTAAGAATGTGTTCTTGCAGGTGCTGTTCACCTCTTGGGCTTGCACTTTAAGCGCTGAACAGTCACTGCTTAGTTGCTTTAGGTTGAGTGAGAAATTAAAAATGGGTTTGTGTTGCTGCTGAATAAAAGTTTGGGGATTGATCCACAGGCTACTAAAAACCAGGGGAACTTTTCCATTGGCTTCACCATGCTCTGCTCAGGCCTTTGAGATCTTATTGGCACCAGGGATATGATTGCAGGTCATTGTAAAATTATCTCAATAGCATGTGGTTTTGTTTTTTTTAAACTGACCAACCCATTCCTTAGTCTTGCTGAGTGTAAAGAAATTCTTCTGGTAGTAACTGAGGCACCATGCTCACAACCCTGCTGATACCTACACTAACATTTGTGCATAAACAACGACAGTGCAAGTAAAAACAAAGAGTTGGTGAGAGATGATTTCTGCCTTAAAGATTTCCCTTCCTTTCCTGGAAATGCCACTGGGATTTAGAAATTGGCATCCTTCTAACTATTCTTAGAATTGGTTGAAAATAACAGTCCTGATGATTTGAGAGACAAATTATTCTTCAAGAATCAAACCAGAAAAGAAAGGCAATGAAAAAAATGTACTTGAAAGGTGAAATTCTTGGAATTTCAATCAGCTCCACAGAAAGCTTCAAGTCATTGCTTCTGAGAGGGCACAAGAAACAGAAATGCAGAGGGAAAAAAAGCATGATTTCATTTTCTTCACAGTTTTGGTAAGGACACATGAACTTTCATACCCTAGCCCCTTTTTTTGTCTTGGACAAAAGCAAAAATTACCAACTCTGATGCCAGGCAAGTTAACCTTCGAATTTTGGCTGGCTCTGTTCAATGTTAAAGGGTTAGTGAAGCAAGCAAAAGACCTGAAGTTTTCTACAACTGACTTTGTATGATTAAAGGAAATGGCAAGTTTAGGATGTGGGCATTCTGAAAGGCTGCGTTCTCTTTTTCATACGCTTTGCTATGAAAAGAACTGAAAATTAAACCTGCTTGTGCTTCTACCCTCTTAGTCTGTGCCCTCAGGCTAGAGCAGGGATGCAGTTCCCTTCCCAAGCCTTGTAGCATCTTACTGCAGTCTCATTCCCTGGACTACGGAGCCAGGAGAACTCTCCCAAGCCAGGAGGAGCTGCCTTCCATAGGGGTTGGCAACTGCATCCCATCATCTTTTTCATAAACTGACTGAAGTTCTGCTTTACAGGTCAGGCACCTCCTTTCATGAAGAGAATTGGCTTTGACCTGGATAAGCAAAATTCTGTCTCCAAATTAGTTAAATTCTCAGTGCTGGAGGTTGGAATCAGGATATTTCCTGATATTTACACCAGAGGTATTTGATCCTTTACTCTTTCAGGCAGAAATCTGCTGATGGTGAAGATCTGACCTGGGCTGCCTGCATGATTGAGGTCTTATGAGTGGCACTTGAATCGAGAGCTCCACTGCAGAAAGCAATGAAGCCTGTGCAGGAATCTCCTGGGTCAGGGGAAGTGGTACCATCCACATACTTCAGGATTTATGCCCTGTGGGTTATGAAGAAGTCAGGAGAGGGCAATGTGAACAATGTCTGCCTGGTACTGTGGATTAAATGTTGCTGCTCTGTTTTCAGCCCATCACTGGTCCCTAC